CCTAATGCGTGACGTCCGCGACGCTCCTGCGCTCCCCAATGAGCTCCGCGCGGCGATGGTAACGTGGCTGCCGGAAATGTCTGCTGGCGTCGCTGCCGATGTCCTCTGCGCTGTCTTCTGACCAGTATCTCGTTGTTCTGGCGCTCGGGGAGCTGGGCGGTCGCTGCTCGGGAACTTCGCCGGTAATCGCAGGGCTCTCCAGGCTGCCGCCTCTTGAAACCGCAAATCGATCTACCGCTCGTCCGTCACGCCAGGTCCTGCTTGGTCGGGCAAGGTACGCTGGGTCGCAGACAACTTTCCTCCCCAAGCTGACGGCTCTTCGTCGTAGGACTCTTTTGCTTGTCTCTGACAGACCCGCCGGGCGACTCGCCAGGGTGTGGTCGTGACAAAGTTAGAAAACAAACGCCTTGACTTAGCCGCGTGATGCCTTTCAGAACTCAGCCACCTGTGTCTCAATTCGGAGATTCCTGATGTCCTAATCCCGAACGTCTCGACGTGGCGATCTTGCTCCTTGTATGCTTCCCACGGCGCTGCTTCCGACGACTCGCTTGGTTGTAGCTCCCTTGTAGATTATTTGCTTGACTGACTGTTTATTTGGTACTTTAATTGATCTTGAAGGTTTGACTCCTCGTGATCGACTGATCCAGCTGCCAGCGCTCTGCGGCCTTATATAGGGCCTCCAAGCCCCGTTATTCCCCTTTTGCGCACGGCCCGCTGGATCTCTCCACTCTGGGTCCAAAGTCCGTGCCTCATGGATGACCCACTTCTCCTTCACGTACCGCTTTCAATCGATGCTCCGCCCACTGCTGCAGTCCCGCTGATTCCCGGGCCGCTTGTGGCACGCCTGTGTGCCGCTCCACTGCCGAGATGTGGCACTTCCTCTCCCGGTCCAAAATTCACGGGAGAGTCCAAAGTCCGGTGGAGTTCCGTTATCCCCTTTTGCATACGGCACTCTTGCTCTGCCCGCGAAGTCTCCATTCTCTCTCGATCTCCATCCTTGGTCTCCAATCTCTCTCGCTCTCCTTCATTGGTCTCCAAACTCTCTCGCTCTCCTTCGTTGGCCTCCAAACTCTCTCGATCTCCACCCTTGGTCTCCAAACTCTCTCGCTCTCTCCTTCATTGGTCTCCAAACTCTCTCGCTCTCCTTCGTTGGTCTCCAAACTCTCTCGATCTCCACTTTTGGTCTCCAAACTCTCTCGTTCTCCTCGCCGCGCCGTTACTACGCGAATTCGCCGCGTATCTGGTAAGCGGCCGGCCATCTGCTGCTGCTTCTATTTGTGGGGAGTTATTCAACTCCTCACACTATTTAAAGGACGTTTTTAAAACGGCGTTTAACTGAACAAAGAAAATGTGAATTTAATGAAAACAGGAATGCTGAAAACATGATACTGTTGCACCTGACGGCGGAAATGAAGTTCGTTCTTTATAATACTTACTGATGTCCTTTAAAGTATCTGCGAATAACTACATACAAATTTTTTTGGAAATTAAGCCTCCTGAACCAAGCAGCCAAATTTTCCCTATTCTGGCATACGGAAATAGCCAACCGATCCTAACAAAACCACATACTAACAAAATACCACATGTACTATATAAAAGGCGTTTATAAAATGGCGTTTAACTAAACAAAGAAAATGTGAATGTAATGAAAACAAGAATACTGAAAACAAGATATTCGTGCGTGTGTGTGTATACATGATGCTGTTGCACCTGACGGCGGAAATGAGGTTCGTTTAAATACAAATTCTTTAATACCCACTGATATCCTTTACAATATCGGCAAAAAAATGCATACATTTTTTTTTGGAAATAAAGCCTCCTGAACTAAGTCATCCAAATTTTCCCTAGTCCGTTTTGTTCATGACCTCCACAATCGAATAAATCTAATCCAGGTGGAAAACTAATGAAATTAAGAATACTGAAACCAAGATATGCGTTTGTGTGTGTCTATATAAGTTAACAACTAAGTATAATATTGCACAATGTATTGCCCTAGTTATCAAATAGCTTACGTGAGTAATGCTGATGCGCCACATTTGAGTTCAGCGTTCTGCGCTAAGAACGACCAACAGTGATATGCTGACACTTCATATTCGAAGTGGAGTGCTGCGCTGTATGGAATGCTGAATCAGCTTGCAGTCCATGACTTTGTGGCGTGATGCATTGTTGCTTGGCTTTAAGGTTCTTATTGTAAACAATAACAACAAATAACATACTACGGCAAAGTCGTTAAACCATATCTTTTATTGTTGACTGAGCTTGAGGCCAGCAATGGCGTAAAGCTTACCGCCAACCTAATCATCGTTCTAGCACTTGGCCTATGCCACTACAGAACGAGATACATCAGGATCAGCAGTAGGACATAGAGCTACACAGCGAAGACGCAGAGCTACACAGCTAAGACGCAGAGCTACGCAGCGGTTCTAAGCGGGACTAACCCAGTGATCTTTGTTTGGCGCCCTACTTCAGTTTCTAACCTTGTTAATTGGATCATGTAAGTTCGAGTGGTGATAAAATTGATCGTGATCATAAAACAAAAATAAATATTTGCAAAGTAATTGTTGAATCAATAAATTCGAGAAAATAATTAGTGCATACCTTCCGTTCATTAAAGATTTGATTGCATACTTTTGTCAGTAAAAATTTCTATTGCATACTTTTGTCAGTAGGAAAATATTTTATTGCATACTTTTGTCAGTAAAATTTTGTTCCATTGCTTACCCAAATAATTATACCCGTTACTCGTAGAGTAAAAGGGTATACTAGATTCGTCGGAAAGTATGTAACAGGCAGAAGGAAGCGTTTCCGACCCCACAAAGTATATATATTCTTGATCAGGATCACTAGCCGAGTCGATCTAGCCATGTCCGTCTGTCCGTCTGTCCGGATGAACGCTGAGATCTCGGAAACTATGGGAGCTAGGCTATTGAGATTTGGCGTGCAGATTCCTGAGCTTCCTACGCAGCGCAAGTTTGTTTCAGTAGACTGCCACGCCCACTCTAACGCCCACAAACCGCCCAAAACTGTGGCTCCTACAGTTTTGATGCTAGATAGAAAATTTTAACTGAAATGTAATGTTCTCATCAATACCTATCGATTGACCCAAAAAAAAGTTTGCCACGCCCACTTTAACGCCCACAAACCGCAAAACCCTGTGACGCCCACAATTTTCATGCTAGATAAAAAATTTTAACTGAAATGTATTGGTCTCGTCGATACCTATCGATTGATCCAAAAAAAATTTGCCACGCCCACTCTAACGCCCATAACGCTTAAATCTGTATGCCGCCGGTAGGTGGCGCATTTTAATCTCGCTTTGCTGCTTGCATATCTCCATATAGCTGAGTAACGGGTATCTGATAGTCGAGGTACTCGACTATAGCGTTCTTCCTTGTTTTTTTTTGCTTTGGATACTTTCATTAAAGCACATTGGGCCAGAAAGTTAATTTTTTGGCCAAAAATCTGTTATTTCTTTCCTGGGATAAATGAAGGATGCAGTTTCTTGCATTTCTCTCTTAAAAGATTGAACTTTTCAACGAACTAAAAGTAAAATTTATTGGAGTTTTATATGGTATAGATAATCTAGACCTAAATCGGAAAATTTTACGTACTTTTCGGTTTTTTTATTTTTTTTTAAATAACTAAAAGACGCACTCAATCCATTTTCATACACGATTAAGTATAAGAGAAAACAAATTCAAAAAAATTAACACAACTATAAAATTATATGTTGTCAAAGATTTATGAACCGTTAAAAATTGCTACTTTCGGAGGATCCCACTTCAACGTTTGTTTTACAATCGACCTAACAAAATTTTCTATTTTTTTCTTAGATTTTAGATTTTTAGATTCTTATAATCAAATTATTAGAAAAAAATTGTTTGTAAAATATTTTTTTTTAATTTGTTTAATGTTAATTTGACATTTTGACATTTGAGATCATAGTAATGTTTAAAAAACTAATACTAACATAGGAGGTGTAGTGCTAGCTACGAGGCCTTTGACTACGTATTTGTTTATGCTATATTTATATTTGTATAATATATTTTAGTTCTTCTCCGAAGAAAGTACAAGAAATGCAGAATACCTTTAGGCATACTTAAGTCCTCCCTTAAGCGCTCTGCCAGGCATTTCATCCCTGCGCTGTAATTTCCTGTTTAATAGTTTCCGCATGGAAACTATACAGATTTCGAAAGTGACATGAACGGTTAGCGTACCTTTCTGTACCAATCACATGAAATTCCACATAAACGGACAACGTGGCGCTCACAACATTTGTCAACAAAGAAAACAAAACGGATTAGATTCGCTTGCGCTTAAGCTCAGCTCGCAAGCGGTATTGAAACGGAAACGGACAGTCTGTCTATTCTAGTGATCATGATCCTTCTGTCAAATGTTGTGGGCGCCACGTTGACCGTTTATGTGGGATTTCATGTGATTGGTAAAGAAACCGAGAGTTGAACGGACAAATAGATGGATTTTAGAGATTGTAAGCCTTTAATATTCTTCTTCTGACAAATCTAGGGAGTTTTGCTCCTCTGAGTCTGAATCAAAAAAGTGTGAGTCGCTTATGTATAAATCCTAATTTGGGTTTAACGTACACAATGCTTTTTTTGGAAAAGCTGTTCTCGTTCCTTGCAATTTTTTGAACGTAATGAAGAAATAAAAGGGTCGGAACAGTCCATGGATCTATAAAACAGGTCTGACATCGTTGATATGCGATCACACTTTCTGGTATGGTTTATCCGATCATTTTTGTAAAATTTGTTTTTACCCTCAGAGGCTTCTTCGCCCAACATACCTACCGGTAAAATACTGGTTCGAATTATATCTGCTCCATGAACCAATATTTTATGTAAAGTAGCGGTCATTGGGTACCACGGATATGCATCTATATAAAAAAGAGCTGTTTGTAAAGCATATTTTTCAAATTTTTGATCATTTATGTCCTGTTTTGAGTTTTTTTTTTTTTTTTTTTTTTAAAGTTTAAATATGTTTATTAAAGGAGAGCGGTGCAAAGATCAAAAACAGGTTTAAAAAGGCCGATCTCGCCCATAAGTTAATAATTGCTTAATTGAAACATACAGTTTGAATCGTAAATTAATTCATTTTGAGGCAGTTAACATAAAGGAATAATAGTATTACACACTTTTCAATACAGTTCTGCTTTTCCCAACCAAAAAATGGGATTAAATCAAGGGAACAATCAAGAGCCGAAACTCACAGAAAAATACTTGATTGCAACACTGAAATTATTTCCTATAAACCTTATACGACGTTAACTTTAAGGAAAATATTACAGAAAGTTTCTTTCTATAGATATAACTCTAGACCTAGCTGAAGGTCCTGTGTTTTCAGTTCCGTTTAACTGCGAATGGATTCCTCTTTAACATTGGGCGCAATGTAAGCTCCCGTCGTTAGGGAGTCCTTTTCCTTGTTTCCAAAGTCCGGATACAATTTAGCCACTTGCCCCAGCGGCGTGCAAAGGCGGCCGGAGAAGTCCAATCGTTTGTTGGACTGACTTCGTTCCGCCGAGGAGATGATATCGAGCAGGGATCTTTGCCCGCAACTGGACATGCGCCGCTTGCTGGCCTTGAGCAGGCTATTGGAGTTGTTACTGCCACTGCCACTTCCGCTACTGAGGGGCTCCAGGCGCTCAGGAGAGAGTGGGGATTCCGTGTAGGAGCGCAGGAGACTGGCGCCTGGTTCCGACTTAAGCGGCGCATCGCCGTAGGCAGCTCGTAAACTTTGCAGGCTTTCCAGCAGATTCTTGTGGTGTACAGTGGTGGCGTTCAGCTGAATAAGCTGCTCCAGCTCCCTATACAGCAAGCGGTACTGGTCCTTGGCCTTGGATATCTTTAGTCTTGCTCCGTTGGTGTGGGTGAAGGGAAGAACATCGCCGCGCGAGGCGCTTTTGTAGAGCTCATGGATGTGCTGCTGGCAGCGCACCTCCTCCTGTTTGTCCATGTCTTCCTTAACCAGCAGGTGCAAAAAATGCGGTAGCCAACTGATCTGTCGCTGCAGGTGAAACAGGATCGAGGAGCTGGTGGTCAGGGGGAAGTAGCGTGGCAGCCGTCGAGACAAATTGGGTGCAGAGGGATCCTTCACCTTTAGCGGCACCATGCGCGACATCTTAATAAGCTGACCCAGTTCAGCGGTGCGATAGTCCGGGACCCGTCCTCCGGGTCCATCGGTAATCGCCGGTGCCTCGTCCATGCAGGAGCGCGTGATGCACAGGGAGTGGACAAATATTTCGCCACCGCGGGCAGAAAGCATGTGGCTGGTGGCCTTGGAGCCGGTCTTGCGGGGCATTTCCAGCAGTACTGAGCGTCCGTTCAGCAGAAAGTTGATCAGGCAGGAGCTGGGACGCGAGGTAACGTCCACGGGCGTCACGAGGAACTGGCCCAGGCAGGGTTGCAGGTCCGCCGAGCCGCAGCCACGCGGGGTGCACCACTTGAGGGTCACAGTCTCGTAGGTGGCGCCCTGCTTGATGCTCGTGGGCAGACTGAAGTCCGGGCCACAGGTGATCGAATGAGCCCGACGGCTGTGTAGGATTTCCACATCGTAGTTGGCGCTGGAGTTGGCGTTCTGCTCTTCCTTCATGGGAATGTTGGTCACCGTGGTGCTGGCCAGATCGTAGTGGTTTAGGATGAGGTGCGTCAGCTTGTACGAGATGTCCGGAGCACTGACCGTGTGGATCTCGACGTCCAGCAGCGGTGAGATCTTGAGCAGACTCCGATTGGTCACCAAAGATTCGACGCCGAGCGGCACAATGTTGAGAATGACCAGGTGGCAGTGATCGATGGCCAGGCCCTTTTTGGCGGGCGGTGCTGCCAGTGCGTTTAGCGTCGCTTGTGAACGGTTGTGTTTACTCTTGTGCTCTGAATTTTTGTCTATTCTGTGATTTTTTGCGAGTGTTTTGTGTTTGTTTATTAACAAAGCTTAGTCTAACCGCTGGGTTAGTGTGTTTAGTGTTTTTTACTAGATCTCCCAGTGATTATAGTTATTTTAACATCTATATTAGATTTGTTTAATCTTCTAGCTTTGTTAGTGTAATTCTTATTCTCACTAAACTTGCTAAAACTCTTTGATTCTCACTCTCTCTCCCGCTCTATATTACAACTGTAACTTAAACTCTCTCTGAACCTGCCAAATTTCTGGTAGACTTTTGGTGTGCTATTCTCTTGTCTCTTACTCTCTCTCTCTCTTGCATGCTTTACATTGTAACTGTTCCTGCGTAAAGTTGTCAGTGTCCCACAAGCAACGCTCAATCGATAGAAGATTTTTTTCTCTTGTGCTCTCTTACATTTAAATTATTACGCGATCTCGCGCTCTTATTTTTTTCGTGTTTTGTGCCTTTGTGGTTTTGGAATTTGATCCCAGTGCCAAATTTACTCGAGGTATTTTTCATATATTATTTTATTTTATTTAATTTCCTTAAAATGGCTCTGGTCTGCTCTAAGAAAAATTGTACTCTTTCGTCTTCAACTAAAGACCCTTTTATTTTCTGCTGGCTCTGCGAGTCGATAATGCACGTTAAATGTGCAGGATTTACTGGTAGAGTCAAAGACTTTATTGATCAGAATTCTGGACTCATGTGGTCATGTGGATCCTGCAAGGAAATGGTTGTTGAGATGAGCAGCTTTATGAAGCAGACTCGAGACAGCCTTTTGAATCTCTCTGGTGCTTTTAAACAGCTCAATGAGGGGTTCAATTCCGTTTGTGCCCAATTTAATAATAAAAAATTAATAACTGAGTCGCCTAAACGTAAAAAAACCAGCTTAGCGGCAGTTAATACGGTCACGGTATCCTCCCCAAATCCGAACTTGGTGGTTGCAGCAGTCTCTGTTGACACTGTGGTAAGTGAACCCACTGCGCCTATGGATACAGCTGTTTTAGGTGAAGTCACTGCTTCTCGAAGTCGGGTGGTAAAAAAACCTTCAGTGCCGGCTACGGTGCCGACCGTACCTATAGGTACAGAAGTTACCGTTTCTGGCTCTCAGCTTAGTGAGGTGCAATCTGCTGCTGGGGGACCTAAGAAATTATCAGTTGTTCCACAAAGAAAACAATTATTTGTTTCGAGATTCACCCCAGATACCACATCTGAGGATGTTTTGGAATTTATTCGTGAAAAATTCCCATCCGAGAATATTTCAGTGGAACAATTTAGATTTTCATATGCTCGTAGTATATCGTCGTTTAAAATATTTGCTCCGCCTGATGTGTTTAAGGTACTACTTTCTGAAAGCTTTTGGCTTAATGATGATTTAGTAATAAAAGAATTTGTTCCCAATAAACCGAGAACAAATAACAGACCCTCCACTGCGCCAAAAAACTAAAAAGTTTATTTTTGGCTTATCAAAATGTTAGGGGACTAAATATGAAGCTACCCAAGCTTTATGCTGACTCCTCTGCATTTACTGCTGGTATTTTGGCTTTTACGGAAACTTGGCTGAAACCAGAGATATCTGACAATGAAGTTCTGTCAAACAATTTTAATGCCTATAGGACCGATCGCTCATCACGTAGGGGTGGCGGTGTGCTGATTGCCGTTAGCACTAGCCTAACATCCGAGAGAATTCACTCTGACACTCCTAATGAAATTGAATTTGTTAGTGTGAAAGTTTCCTTGCAATCATTCTCAATATTTGTTACATGTTCCTATATTCCACCTGGCTCTGATTTAATAATTTATGAGCACCACCTGTCTGCGATAAAATCTGTTCTATCCCTTCTTTCTAACAGTGACTTTTTGATTGTTTTGGGTGACTTTAATCTCCCTGATATTTCTTGGTCTCCTCCTACTGACTCACTAGTCGCGATACCTCTATCCGCCCATGATTTTGTAGATGGTCTTCTAGAATTATCTTTACAGCAAGTAAGCTTTATACGGAATTCATTAAATAGACAACTAGATCTTGTGTTTGTTTCAGACCCGTCTGAAGTCACGGTATCTAGAATTGACGCTCTTGTTGTACCTGAAGACCGATATCATCCAACAATGGAATTGACAATCTGCCTCCCATGCGTTGATACCCTCTCTCCTTTAGTTTCTCAAACTAAAGTGAGATGTTTCCGAAAATGTAACTATAAAAAACTTAACGACATGATTTCTCAATATAATTGGACAGAATTGTACAATTGTATGGATATTGAAAGTGCCACTGAACACTTCTATATAGTGTTAGATACCTTTTTTAATGAATGCGTTCCTGATAGGTTTCCTTCAAAGACAAACAGGCCACCTTGGTTTACCAATGCGCTTCAAAGACTTAAAAACCTTAAGACAAACACTTATAAAAAGTATAAGAAATCGGGTAAGCCATCTGATTTTTCGAAATATGTGGTGGCTCGATCGGATTTTAATGTTCTCAATAGTCATTGCTATTCTATGTATTTAAGTCGGTGTAAATTTGAATTTTCAAATGATCCGAAGCAGTTTTACAACTTTGTCAATGCCAAGCGTAAGTCGTCAGCATTGCCTTCATCGGTACGTTTTAACTCAATGGAGGCATCGACGGATTCTGAAATTGCTGATTTATTTGCCGAGTTTTTCCAAACTACTTATAGTTCGGCTGCTTGGTCAAATTCGAACTACCCTAATCCCTTAAATAAGGCAAATTGTATCTTTACCCCTGAAATTACGGAAATTTCTCTCGTAAAAGACTTAGAAAAAACAACGCCAACTTATTCTCCCGGTCCTGATGGACTCCCCGGGTGTGTGCTTAAGTTTTGTGCGTCAACCATATGTAAACCGATTCTTAAACTTTTTAATTTGTCTATTTCGTCGTCAGTTTTTCCTACTATCTGGAAGGACTCTTTTATCATTCCACTTCATAAAAAGGGTGCGAAGGCGGATGCCCAGAATTACAGAGGTATTTCTAAATTGTCGGCAATTCCTAAAGCATTTGAACGTATTATTACTTCTCATTTGCAACATTTATGTTCCTCGCTAATATCACCGTGTCAGCATGGTTTTGTTAAGCGAAGATCGACCACCACCAACCTTCTGGAATTGTCATCTATTGTAATAAATGGATTTAAGAATAAAATGCAGACTGACGTTATATACACAGATTTTAGTAAGGCCTTTGACTCTGTCAACCACTCTCTTCTCTTATTCAAATTAAATCAGCTTGGGTTTCCATGTAATCTATTAACTTGGATTTCAAGTTATTTGAATGGTAGGACTCAGAGGGTTATATTCAAGAACGCTGCCTCAAAACTGATCTATGTGACATCTGGAGTGCCTCAGGGTAGTCATTTGGGCCCTTTGCTGTTTACTTTGTTTATTAACGATCTTCCCTCTATCATAACACACTCTCGTGTACTAATGTATGCTGATGATGTTAAGCTTTGTTTATCACATAATGATATAGCGTCGGGTTTCAACTTACAGTCAGATATTGATTGTTTTCAGGGATGGTGTGAGTATAACCTTTTAAATTTGAACTGCCTTAAATGCAACGTTATGACTTTTCATAGGGGTACTCCTACTTTTGTTAGTTACTCACTTCAAAATACGGCACTCGATCGTATATATTCAGTTAATGACTTAGGCGTTCTTCTGGACCCAAAACTTAAATTTGATTGCCACATAATGTCCACTGTCAGCAAGGCCATGAGTGTTCTTGGATTTATAAAGCGTTGGTCAAAAGAATTTGATGACCCTTATACAACCAAATTATTATTTACCTCCCTTGTCCGTCCTATTTTGGAATATTGTTCTTCGGTTTGGAGTCCACAATATCAAGTGCATATTGACCGTATTGAGTCGGTACAAAAAAAATTTCTTCTTTTTGCCCTTCGTAGTTTGAACTGGGATCAAAACATAAGGCTACCTTCCTATCAGAGTAGATTACTATTGCTTAATTTACCTACCCTTGCAAATCGTAGAACAATGCTTGGTACTATTTTTATGCAAAATCTTATAAGAGGTGATATTGATTCTGTAGAACTTGTAAACCGCCTAACTTTCAATGTTCCTGTTAGACTAACACGAAATTATTATCCCCTAAATTTGCCACGATGTACATCTAATTTTTGTCTGCACGAGCCCTTTCGCGTTCTATGTAATAATTATAACAACCTTTATCATTTAATTTGCACTTCAACTTCTATCCCGGTACTAAAAACTAATATTTTAACTCATTTGCTTCATTCTTAGATGCTTCTTTTATTTTCATTTGTGTCCCGTCTCTATTTGTTTTTTGTATCTTCCTCGCGAACTCGTATTTTTTGCCCAAATTGATAAAAGGGCCCCGCGCGTAACAAGCACGTGCTTGGTGTCGTTGGGCCACTTGTTTGTACTGCTCGTAGTGCATCAACGTCCATCATATATACAAATCTCAGCGTATGAATTTAAAATATTTATCTAGTCGCCACCGCCACCAAAAATCTAAACGCAATACTAATACCCCCTTAGCAACTTTAAGAATTAATTGTTTTGAATTTGCAGAAGTTTTATCCCAAACAGTAATTAATGCAGAGAGACGAAAAGATAGGATTGTTTATGACAAAATATTGAAAGATGCTGATCTTCTCTCCAAACAAGAGACTAAAAGAGAAGAGATAGAAGAAGAAGAAACAGGTTATCTTAGTGATGGTCCACAAATCCAAGAAATTGAAATAGAGGAAGCAGAAAGAATTAATGGGATATATTTAAGAAAGAGAAATTTAGCAGTTCAAATGATGCTCGAATATTTTAAAAAAAAAGAAAGAAGAATTCAATAAATGAGCTTGTTGATAAATTGGAAAATTTTAACAAATTCATAAACCAACATTTAAAAATACCTCCACCAATCATTCGTTCTGATCAGACACAAATAGATGGAATAATACTTCGGAAAAG